AGGTATTCTCTGCAGCAACTAACATAATTTTTTTAATCATGCCCTTCTACAAAAGGAGAATTTCCTTTGCCTTACCTGCCTTCCCCTGATCTTTGATACTACATTTTAAGAAAGAATAGAAATGTAATATGACATTTCTATACCATTGGTTTAATGGTGTAGATGATTTGATGGCCATCTGGAACTTATCCCTAGTTGTATAGGGCAGCAAACCAGATGGAGGACCACCTTCTCTAATATGCCTATTGAGATTATCTGTTGGGCTCTCTGTATGTCCCAGAAATGCCTAAGATCTATCTAGATGGTGTTAGGGAAAGGGCCTTTTGGTGGTTGAACCTAGGGCCCTGGAGCTTTCTCCCAAGGGAGGCCCATCTTGCCTCCTCATCAGTGACTTCCTGGAAATTGGTAAAAACCTTCCTTTTGAGGAAGGCATTCAAAATATAGTTATAGTTTGTGGTTTTAACTGGTCTACTTTTTTTAAAAAAATAAATATTTTAATAGCTGTTATGTTATGGTCTTTTGCTGCTGTTTTTGTGTTTTATATTACACTGAAAATTGGAGGGATGTATTTAACAGATAGAATATTGATTTTCTTTTAAGTCTCCCTGATGTCCTTGGAGATGAAGCAAGGAATAAATGCTTTAAAATAAATAAAATAATCTTCCATTTTATGCCCTTTTACCTGTGGCACAAGCTGTAAATAAACTATCAAAATGTTGCAGAGCTTGTTTGAAAATTCAATAAACAAAACCCTTTTTGACATGACCTGTTTTGTTAAGGACTGCCCATGTTTGCTCAAGTTCCAAAATGCCAGGAGGTTACAGCTGTTAAGAGCCATGTCCTTAACAGGCACTTATTTTAGCAATGTGTGTATTAAATGTGATTTAAACACTATACATATGGTATAGTATCCTATGCTGAGGTAAGTTCCAGCTTCTGCACTAACTATGACCAGGATGGCTATAAGCAGCGGAGCTGTGGCCCTGGTCCCAGCTTTCACTGGACACATGGCATCTATGAAGCTGAAGCTGTCATGAAGTGAGGTGAAGCTTCCTTTCCATTTTCCCTGTACCCAGCTGGCAATCAATACTCTCTAGACAGAACAGCAGAGCTGGGATACTAAATGTTTGTGAACACTAAACCTAAGAGTGTTCTGCATCAGACCAAAGCTCCGTCAAGTTAAACTCATACTTTCTGCGATGCTCACAAGCAGAACCTGAGGGAAACAATTCTCTCATACCACCGTCTAGGAAATAGCAATAGACTTTTTCCTCAGTTGACACCTCCAATTCTGTTTTCATCCATCTAAACTATTGACCCTCTTGTGGTAGCAAATTGCATAAACTGTGTTGTGTGAAGAAGTACTTTCACCTTGCGAGATGCATAGCGATCTGCTTAAAAAAGTACCCGCCACCCTACTAATTGGAATTTAATGCGCAGTTTGTTACAAATTCTGCTTGGTAACTCAAGTCATTGGGATAGTCTGAAATAATGGTTTCTGTTGTGGCCACAGTGTTCTGGTTTGGTCAAGGCTTCTGGTTCCAGTCCAAGACTTAGATCCTCTGAATTACTCTTGTTTTCAAGCTCTGTGCTGTAAAGAGTTGTTGCAGTTATTTTCAGTTTTTCACATAGACTTCATGGCCTTGAAAGTGAACAATACCTGCTCATGGTCATAAGCTTTTCACATGGAAAGCAACTAAAAGAATACTGTACATTCATTTCTGTGTGGTGGGGTTTTGTTAGGTAGCCAGATTTATTTCCATCCTTCTGTGCACTGACATTGCCTCCTCAAAGCAATCATTCTTGATATTTATCTCAGTTCAATATGTGCTGCTTATTGCTTACCCCATTTTCAGAAGTGTATTTTATGCTGTATTGTGTTTACGGAGAATATTGAAAACTAACAACTGTTGGAATTAGGTGCATTGCATTATGAGGGGGAGGTTTTTTTGCTGGTGGTGAAGTTTTTATCTTTAAATGCATGTTTTGAAAGAACTGGAGTTCATTTTGTATTGCTCATTTGGTTGACAGATCTTGCTTCTTTTTTCGGAAATCAGTATAATTAGAAGTTGGGGAGCTGGAATTTCACATTTTTCAAATGACATATCAGCCACGAACGTGTTCGACAGCCTTGACTCGGCTGTTCTCCTCAACCTTCTACTCCAGCTCTGTTACTTATGAGAATAATAATGATCAGACTCTAAAGTGGCTTGAATAAGAGAAATATTGTATCAATGAAAATTAATGACTAGTTGCTTCTTAAAAAAAAAAAGATGTGTTCAAGCTGGATGTTTCAGTGTGAGTGTGTGTGTGAACGTACTATGTCCAGCTGCTCATGTACTGGTGTGACCTCTTTTTATTTATTTATTTAATATGTTTGTTTGATTAGTAGCCACTACAGCGGAAGGTTTGGTGCATTTTAATATTTTGCTCTTAACCACATCAGCTGATGGTTAAGGAAACACTCTTAAACTCCTCAGCTGACTGATGGATGCCTTGGTGAAGGCATGGATGGTCACTTTCTGCAGAATGATAATCTTGCTGCTGTACATAATGAGGTCAGTGAAGCAGTGAGCAAGGAAATGTATAATTTTGTAGCATGGGTCTGTAAGCACAGCACTGTCTAGGCTATTTAAGTTTAATGAGGCAGCTACTGTGCTGCTGCATGCTCTCGTTGAACAGTCTCAGCATGTATTTCAAAACTAAAATGTAGCTCATAATCCATGTCCCTATCTGCACTCTTTTGAGATCCAGTGGCTCCTATTCTCCTAAGTCTGCATTCGTCTGCATCCCGTTGTGTGGTAATGGTATTGGAATTAGTCACTTGCTCCATTTGCACTGTAAATAGGATCACAAGGCTGTTCCCTTTCTTTTTCGTCTTGGAGCATATGGACCTACTGTAAAGTAGTGCATGGGTATCACGCATGCTCCCTAGGGCATATGTTCCCCACATGGTAGTTAAAACAATCGCCTCCACGGCGGCTACTGTATTCTCAAGCATTCATTCTCATCCATAAAGCACACAATCAGCATCACCATGGAGGTCCATATTGCATGTATGACCAGGGCAGTGATGGGGTTGTACCAGTTGATGGACAGCTCTGAAATAAATGACTCTAAGTTAAGCACAAGGTGACTGTCTTTGTTACTTTTGAGAAGAAAATGCAAAAAAAATCTCCAGTATTTTTATTATTGTGTGCAGTGGCCACATGTCTCCCATACTATATGGTTCTGTTCTTAGTCAGACATTGCAATGATGTTGATGATGATGATGATGATGATGATGAAAAGAAGGGCCCAGAGGAACCAGAATTCCTTTTCAGCAGTACACTGGAAGCAGTAACCATGTTTCACAGTGGAGTAAGCCATCCTTTCTCGACTCAGCAATCACTGATGGAAGGCAGCAGGTGGGGTTCTGAGTAGGAAAATCTCTGAAATGGATTGCTGGCATGAATACATGGCTGGCCCTATCATTAGGCAAAATGAGGCAGCTGCCTTAGACGGCAGGTGCAGAGGGGCAGGTGCTGAGCAGTTGAAGGATGAGCCATGCAGCCACCCTGTGTCCCCCAAGTCAGCTTTGCTTCCCTCTGGTCTAGTTCAGGGCACTGCCCCCTTGCCAGCGAAGTAAGATTTATCTGCCAGTCTGGTCAGCCTCTGTGCATTAAATGATGGCCTCAGGCATGCACTTTCTTTCATCAAAGCACATCAAATAACCAACTTTTTCCCCACCAACTTTCTTCTTTATTAAAGCCCTGGAAAGGTTACATCGTAGTCAGTCTTGACTTTCTTCTCCTATTTTAAATTGGAGATATTCTACTATCCAAGTCAGGACTTAGGGTATTGTTCTATTATGGACTGCCCTCCATGGCAGAATTGTGTAACAAACTTTTAAAAACCAGATAGGTTAAAATTGTTGGCTAAGACCAGCCCAGAAATGGTTTTCTTTCTTCTTTTTATATTATTCTCTCATTACACTTGGTTTCTCTAAGGGCTGGAATTGCTGTGAGTTTTTGCTAAATGGTTTCAGTTGAGGAGAGTAGGATGTGTGTTTCCTGGTAAATTTCACCCACAGTTTCTGGTGCCATATATTTCTGTTGTCTATGTTCATATGTAAACAGGGGCCCAAATTATTTCTAAACCGGTCTGCTTTTGCTTACTTCTGGAGCTGCTTTCCAGGGTAACACATTTCCCTTATTCTTTGAAATACGGATCAGGAACATGGCGTAAAGCAAATGCCCTTCCACCCCCCTTCAACCTCACCTTGGAGCAAATATTATTTCCATTATACAGGTTATTATTACAGGGCAGTGTTGAAAAACCTCTCTGTCATTAAACGCTGGTTTTGATGTTGTGCTCTGTGCTTGATGATGTCATGCACTTAGCAATAATGGATTATTTTCTCAGAGGGATTTCAAGTTTATTGTCTTCTTTATCATGAAAGGCATAACTTTTGGGGGTTTATGGGAGAAGGCTGATGCGAAGTGGAAGTGATTGCAAACTGAATGTCTTTTGCACGGTGTGACAAGTATGAAGTGTGGTGGGAAGGGAGAGACAAAAGGTCTTGATCTTTCTATTTATCACCAAGGTATTAAAGTCTGCAGAAAAAAGGAACATAAGAAAGAAGGCTTTTTAAAAAGCTGTATGTACACATGCACTTCATTGAGATACCATTTCTTAAACCCACATAATTTTTTAGGCTGCCTGATCCCCACCAAAGCAAGAGTTTTTTTTTTTTTTTTTTAAAGAAAGGAAATCTCTCATTTTCAAAGTAAATCAATAAGACAGTGTGATACATTGAGGTGCTTGCTGCATGGCTATTAACAATCCTTTCTTTTCCCTTTGTGTTACAAATTTGTAAAAGAAATGGTGGCATTCGAGTTCTGCTGAATTTTAATGACTAGGATGCTGGTGGTTTGTCATATCTATCTATCCATCCATCTCCGGCATTCACTCTTAGCCTCCTTCTCTTCAATAAATTGTTTTCTAATCTTTTTTCCTAGATGGAAATCCTGTATGAATGTGGAAGCCATTAGCAGAGTAATTGCTGTCTGTTACCATGACAACCAGCCGCTGCAGTCACCTGCCCGAAGTCTTACCAGACTGCACCAGCTCGGCGGCTCCCGTGGTAAAGACTGTGGAGGACTGTAGCAGCCTTGTGAATGGACAGCCGCAGTATGTCATGCAAGTTTCGGCCAAGGACGGGCAGCTGCTGTCAACGGTAGTACGGACTCTTGCCACACAGAGGTACAGTAGTGCCCAGCCAAAGAAATGTCTCATTGCTCATTAAACTGTATCGGGAAGAAAGTGTGGAGAAGGGAGGGGTATGTAATTACGGGATCTAGCCTCCGAAGTCATACTTGGCTCTTCCTTTGCGTATTTCTTTACTTTTAAGCAGGCGAAGCCTGATCTGTTTCGGGGACAATGAGATTGGAAGATGTCGCTCTGCATGCTCGGTTTTCTGTGTTTTAAGCCAAGCCAAGCTTGCCGAACAAAGTAGCATGGCCGGCTCACTTGGAAGAGTCCGCTCTTCCGAGTTTATAATTACGTTCTTGTGCTTGTTATAACTTTGGGGTGATCACTTCGAATGAAGCTTCTTCCGCATGCTGGCTTCACTCAGGGGAGGGGACTGGAGAGAAACTGTTGGGAAGTGCAGATGTGAAAGTGAATAAGTTGCAGTAAAACGGAGCTGATTTGGAAGAGCAAACTTCAGCAGTGCCGTTCTGTTGCCTTGTGCTTTCCAGCCAGAGCTGAGAGCCGTTCCATTGAGGCACACTGTGTGTATCTGTGTGCGTGCCTGAGAGAAAAGAACCACAAATACCCTGTCATGTACTGGGGACTGTTCTTCACTCATTCACGGGCTGACGTGTTATACTTCCAGCATATATTTTGTACTGCTAGGCAGCCCAAAGCATTTCCACACAATGCCCACTGCATGGACACACAGTGTGCCTTTTGCCTGCATGGCCACAGAATGGGTCTCTGAGGAAGAACTGCATGAAATTATTCGCTGTTCACATTTCAAGTTTGTCATGGCTCAACTAGCTGTGGGTTTTTCTGTTTGTTAAGTTCATTAAAAATAGCTAATAGCTCAGCAACTTTATAAGCAAAATAAGTAGGTTATCGGCCAATGAAGTCTGCAGAAATTATGTTGGGAAAAGGTACCGGTTTGTTAGGAAAAAATGCTATGTGACCAGTGTTTGAATTGGTTTGTTTTTGAATGTATCCTGTTTTTACATAGCTTTTCTTTACAGAAGGATGGTGTTAGAAACTCCTGTAGGGGTTCAATTCCTTTCTACATTAGTTATGTATATGAAGAGCTACAATTTAATAATGTGCTTTTAATTCACAGATCTGTCTCATAAGAAATACCTTTTTTGAACAAGATGTGTGAGAGTTTTATATGAGTGATTATTTGTTTGTCCTATTTGTAGTCTGCTCTCTTTTCAAAGAGGTCAGAACATTCTACTTGGCATTTTCCACATATTTATTTATTTATTTATTTAGGAGACTTCTATGCCGCCCCATTCACCGAAGCCTCGGGGCGGCTCATATTTGCCACAAATACCCTGTAGGTTAAGTAAGGCTGAGGGATAATGCTTTGAACAAAGAGAACAGTAAGAGAAACATGGCTGAGAGTAAATTTGAACTTCCAAATCCAGCACTCTAACCATTGTACCAGCCTTCCTCTCCCAGCTGCCCTCCAGAATTCCTATCATGCCCAGCCAGAACAGCAGTGAGCATGATTAGAATTGCATCTCAACACATCTGGAGGGCATCCAGTTGGAATACTTAAGGTAGGCAGGAAAGGATCAAGATGTTAAGATGTTATTAGTTGGTATAAGTTAAAGGTTATGAATAAGCCAGTTGATTAAAATTTATTTATTTATTTACAACAGAGTTCCTGAGCAATCATTTTCGAGGAAGAAAATAGATGAACGTGTTCAGATGGAAACATGAAAATATCTACAGATACTTTCCCTGACTTGCAATTTGAAAGGCTAAATCACACCTATTGTGTTTCATTTATTTTATGGAGTGGAAAGAAGTTGTTTGGGGACAAAAATCAATCTTCTCTTGCAACGTATTTATGTAAATGCAAGCTAAAAGTTAGCAGTTTGATATCTAGCTTATTAAAGAGTATAATCCTGAGTTCTCTTGTTTTCCTGTAAAGTGTTCTCAGAAGTTGAAACTAAGCCAGACAAATGTTATCTGGAAAGGCTGGAAAGACCGTCTGCCTTAGACTTTGAAGAACTGATGAAAGTCAAAGTGATAGTACTGAATTAAATGGACTATAAGTCTAACTCAGTGCAAGACTGCTTCCCACATCTGCTTTCTGTGTGACAGTTCTCCTAAGATCACCATTTTCCATTTAATAGCTTTTTCAGGATATTTCCCAAAATTTACCAAAAGTTACAGAAGTCTCTGCAACAAGAAAAAGAACTGACTGTTACAAAAATATTAATCAAGGTGCTGGTAGTGGCTCAGCTAGTCATCTTTCTTATTAACCTAATTCAGCTGTTAAGATAAGCAAAGGTTCAAGTGAATCCTGGTTTAGCAGGAGCAAGCAAGCATGCTTATTTACGCTATCCATTACTCTCTCCTGCCTGCATGAGCAGCTAACAAATAATGGACTGTCCCAAGTAATCCAGAGTGATAAGCTATGGGATATTGTTAACTTATAATGCTGGTTTGTTTGGAGAGAGACAATCCAGACTCCTCAGTTCAAAATCAATTTATAGGGAAGAATAGCAATTGGGTTTAGCTGCTCCTGCCTGTACCAGAATTAATCTGGATGCATGCACCAGGTCATTTTTAATCCTAGGTTCTGGGTTTTTCAGAACCCTGGCTTACCCTAACTTTGGAACTGGACCTCTGTGCACTTTGCAGTTCCACTAATGATAACCATTCCTTAGAAGGTCAGGACTGCTCTCTTCCAAAGCAGGCACCCTTGCTTAGCACTTGTAAGTACCAGTAGCAGTGCAGCTAATCTCAGAAAAGCTGAGCCCAAACATTAGCAAATGAAATTTAACAAATAAATCAAATCTTTAGGTATACTTGGAAGAAAAGGATTACACAGCATGACACTACTGCTTCACAGACAAGGAGAGATGATGCCAAATGCACAAGGAAAAATGGAAGGGCAGAGAGGAAGTTGAGGTCAAGAAATGGTGGGAATCAAATCAAATCGAATATTAGCCACAGGAAATTATGTCAGAAAACAGGTCTTTGATCTCAACAGAAAAAGTCATTCGGAACATCAACTGAATGTATGTTGCTATCTCCGTCTGTCAACCACAGAGCTTATATGTGCAACGTGAAACATAGAAAACTGGTACCTGGCAGGGAATATTTAATGCCAGTTTAAGGGGTACAAACTTGGGCTTCACATGGAATATACAATACAGTTTTAGTTATGTCATTTGTAATTTCAATTTCACTCTTCTTGAATAAACATGTAGTAATTAGATTGAACACAGAAATGGAAACAGGTTGGAAATGCTTGGCCTGTTTAACCTAGCAAAAAGGAGACTGAGTACATATAATTGCACACTATAAATATGCTAGAGAGGGGAGAATGATTTAGACTGAGATATAAAAACTAATGGCTATAAGTGATCCATTAAAAATTTAGGTTTGAAACCATAGGAAGGTTTCCAAGGAAACGGAGGTGAAAAATTCTAGAACAATCTTTGTAGGGTAGTTATAGCACCAAAGAAAACCAATTGTCTCAAACCACCTTTCTAAAGGACTGGCTTGCTTGCTTTCTCTCTAAACCAGGTTCACTGCAACAAGCTGTGGTTATAGAACTTGTGGCCTCCCAGGTCTTGTTGGACTACATTTGCCATTGGCCATAGCCAGCATAAACAATGTGGAGGAATGAGGGGCATTGTAGTCCAGCTACCTCTGCTATAGAAGATTCCCTTCCCACTCATGTACTGGGTCCCCTTTCCACATCCCATAACAGACTTGGTCTGATAAATCATGGTTTATCAGACTGAGAATGTGTTGTATTTGTGCCTGTATACTTCCTCTTCCCAGCTTTCTCCTTCCCTTCCCTTCTATGCATTAAGTCAATATTTCCTGAACAAATTAAACCACCATTTCCCATAGTTTGATCCTGGTTTGTTGTTTCGGCTTAAATTACAGGTGTTCTTTGGTTCAGGCAGAACAAGAAATTGTGTTCTAAGAAACTATGGAACTATTGCAAGAGAAGATGGTGTGCACAAGCACAATGCTAGTCCTTGATCCACTAAGGGCCAGGAACTTGATTGGGATGGGGAAGACGGATGATTCCTTCCACCTCCAGGTCTCTATGATGTTATATGTGGGCAGAGCCACACTCTGAATTCCAGTGGGTGGGGACAGACCTGCTGACATCATCTGGTCCCCAGCACAAGTTCCTGCTGGACTTTCTTCAGCTAAGAAGAAGATGAGAAATGGCTTTGCCTGCCTCATAACACCTGGGACTGGGGAGGACACGGAGTGAGCAAGGCTGTCCCAGCAGAAGCATCATATGGAGAACCTTTGGCTGGGGACTAGCTTTGACTGTTCTGTACCTTCCCCCACTGCAGAGGAAACAGAACAGGAAATGCCTCCACAACCAGGGTGCACAGAGTAACTGCCCTGTCCCAGAGGAGCCCCTTCCACTCGATTTGAATGGTGAATGGTGTCCAAGTTAACATTGCTGGGTTATCTCTGATCAGCAATAACAGTGAAGACTGTTCTTCCCACTAGCCCATAGGCTGATAGGTCAGCCTGTCAGCCCAGATGCCAGAAGTTTCCTATTCTGAGATAAGTGATGGTTTATCAAATGGAGATAATTGTCTGAACTGAGCCAACGTCTATAGCCAAAATGTCAAACTAGAGGCAGGAGCAAGTAGGACTTGGGAGCGGGTCACAAAGTGATGGGGGCATAGACTGGAAAAGGTGCAGAAAACCCTGGCAAACAGCAGGTTCTGAGTAGTGGCATAGGGTTTAAGAAGGAAGCACAGCCAGTGTGTCAGCAGATAATGAAATCACCAGGCCTGTTGTTCTCCAGTTGTTATGGAAGTGCAGGACACGGAAGTGACCTATGCAGTTCCTGCATGGGAACTGAGCCCTGCAAAGTGAGGGCATCACAATCTCACAGTCTTGTGCTTGATATATCTGGCAGAGAGAGGGGATATGGAAATGCCATGGCCTGTTGTAAGTAAGGTTTCTTTCCACAGTAGGAACCTGCCCAAATTGTACACTGTTCTCTTGCTGCTGTGTCAGAATTTTTTGTAATTTGAAATAAGATGCTGGCAGAAATTATTCTTGAGAACCAAGGACCTTGCATTTCTCAGGACAGGTTGTGCTTCAACATTTTCTGTATTGTTGGTACTCATTTCTTTGCTTGGGAGCAAGGAAGGATTTTTTCCTCAGGTCATGTGAACTAGTTGAACTGGAGAATTTCCTTGCATGTGTGGTGTGCAGCATGGCCGGCTTGTTGAAGCAGGTTGGGCGATTGGAGTCAGATGATTTTGAGGATGACGGCATCATACAACTCCAGCACTAACCCACAATACTTTTTGTTGTCTTGTAGTCCTTTCAATGACCGACCGATGTGTAGGATTTGCCACGAAGGCAGCAGTCAAGAAGACTTGCTTTCTCCCTGCGAATGTACAGGAACTCTGGGAACTATTCATCGCAGCTGCCTGGAGCACTGGCTGTCCTCTTCGAATACCACTTACTGTGAACTCTGCCATTTCAGGTTTGCAGTAGAGCGCAAACCAAGGCCGTTGGTCGAGGTCAGTAAATGGGGCATGTCCTCAAAAGCTTAGTTTTAATGATGTATGTTTTTACACCCGGATCACAGGAGCTTTGCAGCTTCGATGAAGCAAAAGAAAAGCTATGCATTTGGGGTGTTTAGAAGCAGGGAGGGCAGGGCAGGAGGGCGGCAAGAGAGAAGCAGTAATTATAACTTTCATTTTCCACTAAAGAACATGACTGAGAGAAGTGGAACTGATGGTTTGGCTTCTTTATAGATTTCTGTATACTTTTGTTTGCCTTGAGCAGAGAACTCATTGTGTGCATATTATACTCCTGGGTTTTGTAGAACACTAGACAAAAATGTTAGTGGGGATTGTAAACAAAGATAAAGCATTAATTTTTAAAACTAATTCTACAGACAGATTTCTCCTAATTTACTTTCTTAAATACGTTGACATATCTGTTAGTATATTAATATGTTGGTTTATATAACACAGGTAAGCCAATTGTTTTCTTTTAATTGCTTGCCATAAGATACTTGCTGGCTGTGGATGCAATTATTTAAATAAATTGGGTTGTGTGTAAAATAACAGTACATTCTCTGAGGTGCCCCAGCTGTCTCTTCTTTTGAAATATGATATACAGAGCATCTCTTTTTTAGGGATTTGAACATGAAGTAGTGGTGAAGAGAATTCAGACGAAGATATTATTTTTCCTGATGATATAAAAAGCTGGTTGCAAACCTGACAACATAAAAATAACTTTCATCAATCACGGTGTAGGGATTATATGTCTTATTATGAAAGGTTCCTTACGCTGACACACGCCCCTCTCCCATAGTGAACAACAACATCTTTATATCCATCCAGCTCTTAAAAAGGCAGGTAATGTTTACTGTCCACTTTTTCTGCAGCATGACAAATGGCATTAATTAGTAATAAGTCAACACATTTAGAAGCACAATACATGTTAAAATTTCATGGTCATCAGCAAAGCTGAACCTTGCACTCTGCTGTAAGCCCTTGGGCGGGCCCAGGACGATTTTGTGGTCTGAGGCACAGCAGCAAATGTCTCCCCAGCAAGTTAAAGAGCATAATACCACTAAAGATTTTAAAGGAACGGTTTGCTTTCAGTCAGTAAATAGAGCAAACATAATCCATGCTACTGTGCGCTGAATGCAGAACTAGATGGATACGTAGCCTGAGCCAGCAAGTTGGGATGTTTGAACAGTTCGATCCTTGTTGTAGGAATCCTTGTGGATCCCACAAGAATTCCTACAACACAAAGCACTGAGGTGTGGCATTACCCATGAGGATTCATTTATACACACGGATCCTGTCCACTTGAGGAGTGGTTGGAAGCTGTTTCTGTTGCCACCCCAAACATCTGCTAAATACATTGACTACCTTCTTGCCCAATGGTAGGGCAAGTACTGCTTAGTTCCCTGGCCACTGGAAGGGCCGGAGTATGCTTCCTTCAGATTTTATTGTCCATGGGTAACTGGACTTAATGGTACTCTCCTTTTGGACTGTGAAGAGAAAGCAAACTGTCTTATATCCTGTATTTTCCGGGCAATGGCTGGGAGCAGACTGGACTTCCTCCTGCCATTATGTTCTTCCTACGAGTCAGGCAATGCAACCTTCCAGTGGCCCTTTGACTTTTGTCCAATGGGTGGGTCAGAGTGTGTTCCACTCAGGTCTGTAGCATGCAGTGAATTGGCAGTTGGAGTTACGTGTTATTTCCAGCAGTTAGAGAAGTGGAGTTACTATTTATTTTGAGGTTGTGGGGGGCGGGGGGTTACCCCACTCTTCAGCTAAAAAAGGCTCCCACAGCAACGTAAGAAGATCGATAATAACAGAGTTCCAGCTCTCTGACTTTCAATCTAAAATACACAAAGGAGCTGGGAGAAAAGAGGAAAACAGAACATTCAGGCACTAAATCTAAGTTATGTGTTTGGTTAGCCACTAACAATGGAAACAGCTTCTTAGAAATGACTGCATTGTCGATTGTGTGGGGCTTGGGGAAATCTATCAGCCTCTTGTCAGTCCTTTCATGGAAAGCAAGGCCCTGGTGGTAGGTTGAAGTGATCCTCCCTTACCATACACCCAGCTAGAGCAGATGGACCTGCGAGCTCTGAGAAGTGGCTGGAAGCTGGTGACCTTGCAGGTTAGCCTTGGCTTTCTGGGGCCTTGTTGAAGCCTGATAGCAGCCTGTCACTGACTGGAAGGATTCAGAGGAGCCCAGATGACACCACCATCCTGCTTCATCTTCACAGGACCCTTTGTTCTGTTGGCCTCTGTCAGGGGAGAGAAGAACCCAGCCGAGTGGGCGAATACAGCAGCAAGCCAGAAGGGCAAAGATGCCCACTTGCCTTGCTGCCTGAAGCTGCATGGCTGCTTTTCTCAACAGGGAAGTTGCTTCTGATGCAGTTAAATTTAGCAAAGTCTTGTGGCACTCTGTAAACTCACAAATGGATTGTGGCATGGGCTTTAGATTTGGGACTGCCATTGAGGCTCCAGCATCATGAATATGCTGCTGTAAATCTAAAGCAAAAATTAGCCAGATACTTAATTATTGGTAAGTAAATAATGATAAATAACCCAACCTGCTTAGTCAGATTAGACTGAGTAAGTAGAGTTTAGGGGCTGCAGTATTTTGATTTCACCTTTGGAATCAGCTGCTCCTGAAAATTCTCTTTGCACAACTGGAATGTTACTTTTCTTAAGAATAGCAATTCAGTAAGTTGAAATTGAAAGCTAGCCCTTCCAAAATTGGAAGGGCTGCTGTTAGGTCATTTTGTTTGGTCAGAGCAACTGACCAGGGAAGGAAACTGAGATCCAGTTTTAAGCAAATTCAGCAACGCATTTCATCTTACTGCAAACTATTTTTAATTGCTGACTTCCCAGCTTTCCTTCGCAGTAAGACTTTCTTTGGCAGTTTAAGACTTGCATCCTTATTTAAATACATATCAGTGTGTTCCAAATGTAAGAGATATTACATGGAAAATGTGGCTCTGCAGAATGGCAAGAAAATAAGGCTTTGAATAAAAATAGGATGTATATAAAGCACTACATAGAGTTAATAGGAAGAAATACAAAGAGACAAGCTGCTGAACAGTTCTACTTACCCACCCCCCTTTTCCCATTTATGTTAAAGGCAACAGTGCGACTGCCTACAGAAATAGATGGTTCCACCAAAATGGTGCACTTAGGTTGAATGGAAGCTCTCAGCATTCCCTATCAGCATTGCCATTAGTTTGTTGATGGAATGCTGGTGGATGCATGATGGGAGCTGTAATTTAGCAAATCTGGAAGGCATCCGGTTGGCAAAACTTATGTAGAGTTTGCCATAATTCCTTCTCAGCAGGGCTCTACCAACTCTATAATAGTGCGTTCTGCTATAATACAGGGCTAAGCAAGCTGTTGCTGCCCAATCCCAGACACCATGCTAAATCGTCTGAGTGCTGGAGCTTGAATCCAAAATTGCCAACATGTCTGAAGGGCTACAAGTTGCATAGCATTGTGGCAGGGTATGTGACTGGTGGGATTAGAGAGAGGAATATTTCTGTTGGATACAGCTTTCAGTTGTCAGGGAAGAGGACTTCTGGGACCTGCTTCCCTTCCCGATCCTCTGACCTCTGACCTCTCTATGGCTGCTCTTCCAGCCCTGAATTAGGATTTGGATTTTCTTTGTGGAGAATGTGGATTTGTGGCTTTGTTGGCCTTGACTCCACATTGGTTTCATACCTCATTCATCTTCCAAAGCAGGTGGGCTGCAGGCTTTATTTTATGGCTTCCTCCTCTCTATTTTTCTCTAATCAAAGTATACATTGATGTCATTTGCTGAAGCAAACATAGAGCATGGCTTTTTAAACACTGGGCTGTTATTATACCTTCTCCTTCATTATTTCACATTGTAGCCTTGGATCTTTTTTACTTGTGGGATAATAATCCAAGAGCAAAATTGTGGGGTCAACTACATACTTTATAATTGTGAGGAAATGGAAGCCAAGGAATGAAAATTCTGATGCAAGGCTTAGCATGATGTTTTGATCTTCCTTTTGATACAGCAGCATTTCTTTCTGTCTGCCTGTCTTTCTGGCCATAGTAAGAGAGATTAGATTTTCTCATTTCTTTTTCCCGTTGAAAGACCACAGTGCCATAGATAAGAATTGTATGAGCAATATAAAAGAGACTCATTTCCTTCAGGCTATAGAGGTTTTAACCAAATAGTAAAAAGTAGATTATGTCCTCACAGTATCAGTTAAAAATGTGAAACAAGTGACACAGTGAACAAGATTTTGAAGTTGTACCTGTTTTTATTTTAGTGAAAAACCAAGTAAATTCTGAAGTGTGCACTAAATACTGTGTATGCTTTACCTAAAAGGCTGCAGAATTTAATTTTCTATGGTAAATCCCAATTTACCACTTTCTAGCACCAAATCACTAAAACTACATATTTTAAATCTCTTAATCATCACTTGTTTTAATGCCTCTGGGCCATGTAGAGTTGGCACTCTACTAAGACTCAACTGGTGAAAAATGTGTGTGTGATGTTAAATCATGGTTTGACATCATGTGTATGAAACTGGGTTGAGCCTTAGACCTACATGGTAGGCATGACATGAGTGGAGCTGGCTGGAGCCGGGGTTCAGACTAGAAATCCCGGGAGACCCCTTCCGACTTGCTCTGTTTCTACATGCTCTTTCCCCTCACTCATAGTGATTCCCTGCTTCTTTTTCTGGTTTGGGCAAAACATAGTTTGCTGCTTTGTCTAAGCCAACAAATTATGGGTTATGGTTTCCCTACAAACCAGAATCAAAAGCCAAAATTAAACCACTGTTGTGAAGTCTGACCCACACTAGACCCATCAATAAATGAATAACTGGTCTTGCTGTTCAATAATTTCATTGGTTCAGGAAAAAGCTGGTGTTTTCAGACAGCCATTGACATAACAAAGGTGAATTCAACTCTATTTTTTGTACAAAAGGATTGCCATGTTATTGCTATTGTTTTTTGAATAAGTTTTATTCTAAATA